TGCTCTAGTGGGAAACAACAAGTATCCATTTCCCAGAATCCATCCCAGAGCGATGCCATAACAGCAGAGGGACATTTCTCTTCCCAGTGGCAGAGGCCATCTCCCTAACCAGGCCTCAGCGTGCACAGCAATCCTAGTCACTACCTAAATGCAGGGGCAGGACACCCAAACCAAAACAGTGAGGACAGCCTAGGATCCCATTCTGTTGACCTGAACTCTAAGCCCTGGTCTACACTACAAAATTACTTCGATATATGTCATTCTGGGGTGTGAACAGTCCACTCCACTGAGCGACATAGTGATACTGGTCTGAGCGCTGGTGTAGACAGCGCTGCGTCGGCGGGAGAGCGCTGGTCTCTCGCCGAGGTGGATGAGCTACGCCGACGGGAGAAGCTCTCTCCCGTTGGCTTAGAGCATCTTTATTAAAATGCAACAGCAGCACAGCTGTGCCGATGCAGTGCTTTTAAGTGTAGATCTGCCCTGAGTAACCCTCATTAGACACACGCTTGCTTCTTTTAATGCACTGCCCGGGGGTTAGTCCTGTTCATCAGTCTAGACGCTCCATCCCTCAGCCACCAAGTCTGACGCTATCCACTCAAATCTGCCCCATGCTGGAACTCGAGCCGCTTGTCCCTCCAGGCTGCCTGGGGCCAGCCGAATGAAGTGGCCTTTCCCTTCCCTTGACTTAAGCAAACATGTCCTCACGGTGGAAGCCAATAATGGAAACACTCCAGATGTGGGTGCAGGTGGAAACCAGATGGCTTTGTTGCTCTTTGCCTTCCGCTGGACAGCGTTACAAGCCTAGGGAGGCACGGTCAGCATGTAAACATCACTCAGGGAGCCGCTTTTTGGAAAAAGTTGTAGGCCAGTGGCTTTTGGAGAGTGTTCCAAGAGGGCAGACTGATGCCAAAAGCAGCAAATAATTTACACTGGTGAGCTGGGTGGTCTGGGTCCCCCCTCCCACCCTCCGCCACCCTCGTTTGCATCTGTTCATATTTAGAGGCCATTCTTGACCGTTTGTATTCAGCTAGACTCTGGCATTCCTCTTGCTTTGTCCTTGGCCGCAGTCATCTGCGTAATGAATGTATTTGAGGATCCAGCCAACGCTGCTGTTGAAATCTATTACCCATAATGCTTTAGGCCTTCCAGTAGCAGGCCATGCTGTAATCAAGGGCACAATTCACTTCACTCCCAATGGGCACCGAGCTGCAGTGGAGATGTTCCACCGTGATCACCTCTGCCTGTCATCGGCAGCTTCCGGTAAAATCCCACAGCACTGTCAAAAAGTGTAAGGGACGTCTCCCGCAGTGCCCTGGCCGTCATTCCCTCTCTTAGTATTATAGGGAGGGAGGGAGAGAAATAGACAGATGGCTAGATGTTGGAAACTGCTGCTGTTGCTTCCACAGTCACTGCGCTGCATGAATCCAACCAAAAACTTTGGAGATACTGGTTTGTGAGTCTAATACTGTGTAGTGTAATGAATTCAAATTCCATTTCAATGGGCTGACATGGTAAAAACGATTCCCTTAAGCAAACCTATCAGAGTTGGCACAGTGTTTTGTCTGTTTTTCACTGACAGACTAAGGGAATTAGGAGCACAAACCCCACTTTAAAATGCCAATCAGCTGCATGTTCCTAAACCCATTAGGCCCCTTTTGAAAACCTCTCCCTTCATCTCTAACTGGCCCTTTGGAGAGGTTTTACAGGCGATTACTTGACTCAGTATAACCTCTGAAATAGGACACTGGGCTAGTACTCAGGACACCTGGGTTCAAATGCTGGCTCTGCTGCTGGGTGACCATGAGCAAGTCACATCATCTCTCTGTGCCTCCGTCTCCCCATCTATAATATGGGGATAATGATACTGACCTCCGCTGCAAAGCACTTTCAGATCGAAAGCTGCTAAGAGCGAGGTATTATTGTCTTGTATATTATTATTTTCATGTAGGTAGCATCACTCATCTCAAATAGTTTGCAGAGAGCATCAGGGTGACTCAGAGTGGATAGGTCCTGAGTTCTAGCCATTTGCATAGGTATTTATCTTGACACCTGTCGTGGGCTTTCTGAAGGTCCCACTGTATTGAACTCAATTTATTTGCCTAAAAAGGATGAAAGTGTGCCCCCCCACCACCACCGGCCAGGCTTTGAAGCGGCATTTCTGAAGGATGGAGGCATATCAGAGCTGGTGATTAGATCCCTAAGGACCATGATCTTATCCTCCAGCCAAGCTGCTACCTTCTGCAGTGCCATCTGTGTTGGGTGTGAAGGTGGCTATGGGTGGCCTGAGTTAGAAGGACTGCTCCATCCTCTCAGAGCTGGGTTCCTGAGTGGACAAGCCAGAGACCAGCCCGTTGCGTCTGCCCTACCAGTTCTTCTGGTGATTTGTACAGCAAGGTGTGAAAGGCCATCTGATAAGGAAGGGAGAAATGGCCATTGCCGGGGCAGGATATGACGCCCCGGAGCATCATGCTTGAAACCCAGGTGGGCAGGGCAGCCGCAAGGGGCAGAAAACCAAAGCAAATCAGGAAAAGGTGCTTTTACAAGCGGTGAGTTAAAAACATGATTAGCCAGAGCCAGCTGCCCTGCCAGAGCCTTGTGGAGCTTCACATACGCAATGGCTGAGAACATTCCTCTGAACTTACTCTTGGGGCTGAATCAGACCCCAGTGAAAACGGTGTGGATCTCTTGGAAATCACTTACATGGCCAAAGGAAAGTATTTAAAATGCAGCCTCTGGTGACTGTCTCCTCAGAAGGAAATAAGCATGAACGGCCTGTATGCTTCCAGGAACAGGGGGTGAATCAGCAGTTTAGGGCAGAAAGTAAAAACAGGACCGGAGGGTTCCCAGTCCATGTAGGATTAGTATGGCAGTAGCATCTTGGCTCCCCAGTCATGGACCAGGCCCCTATGGTGCTAGGCGCTGTACAAACACAGAACGGAAAGACAGCCCCCGCCCCAAAGAGTTGACAATCTAAGGATAAGGCAAAAGGCAGCACATGGATAGAGACAGAGGCTGATTACAAGAAACAAAGAGACATTGACGTGCTCTGGTCTGTTTACCAAGCTGGTTGAAGTAAGGGGCCCTTGTCTCACTTCTCAATGGCAGCTCTACGCAAGGCGTTTTACAGTTAGATCTTAACAGGGTCCAGCGCACAGCCCTTGAGCAGGACGGCAGGATTCTTAAGGAAGGAATCCACATCATAGAGAAGGGCCATAGGTAACCACACCTGGAGAGTCTCAGGCACAGGATCAGTGGGCTGATGGCAAATGGCACGGCACGAGTTTAGTGGGTCTCAGCCCAGTTCCCAGGGCACAGATGTCCCTGGCACAAAAACCACCTCCACAATTGGCAGAGTCAGCAGAAAGTCCAAGGGCTGAATGGGACGTAGATACTGAATTCCCCCTTTGCCATAGAGTGGGTCTCTTTCCAGGGCAGGATCCAGGCCTCTGGGTGGGGGTGCAGACAGTAAGTGAAACAAGCTTTCTTCTGTCTGCAGATTCCCACAGTGGGCCTGGTTTGGAGGGGGAGAGCCAGGGTCCCAGGAGGAACCAATGAACAATGTTATAGCGGGGGATCATTTGCTGTTGGGTCCATCTCCACTCTGCAAGCCCCGCCCGTCTCCACATCTGCAGGGCCTCTGGGTGTCACCAGGGAGCCTCTGTCCATCTGGCCTCAATTAGTCAAAGTGCTGCATCATCGAAAGGCACGTCTGAAATGCAAAGGCTTATTCATCATCACGGCAGTGTTCCCATGGGGCCGGGGGAGCAGACAGGCGGACCTCGCCCTGCTGGGACAGTATCGCTTGGAGAAAAGAGACCAGAACAAGGAGGGGAGATTTTGGATGCACAAGAGATATGATGGGTGTGGAGCAGCCGCTGGGACCAGTGTTGGGGAGTGAGGTTTAAATGATTGATAGGAGCAAGTTCTTCCTTTCTCCTTCTATACTTGTGGTTATGCTGCTTCCAGGGGCTCTCTCCTGGCCAGCACAGTCGGCTTGTGCTTAAAGAAGAAGTGAGGGGTGACGTGTGGTTTACTGCATGTGCCTTACTTCAGAGACCAGCACCCCTTTCCCATTGCTGAAATTGAAACCACTGGGTGCAGTTTGAGGGGACAGTGCTCCCTGCTGACACAGTGAGGAACTCGACAAACGGGAGAGGCGCAGTCGGAAATACAAGCTAGGGAGGCACAGGCTGTTACAAGGCACACTCTCTTGGGAGCTTGTAGTGACCCTCTGCAGATCATGGGAGCCACCATCCAGGAGCCTTTTATGCTGACGGCCACATGGGTGGAAAAAACGTGTGACGTAAACCAGAATTGATTGTGGTAGCACCAAGTAATGGGCACTTTGCCAGTCCACGGGAGTAATGCCCGCTCCCCCCCCCTTCCACACAGACATACTTAGGATCCCTGGAATGTGAATCAACTTTTTTCATCTAAAATCTATTTCCATGTTCATGGTCAGCCCTGTTGTCTTTTCTGGTGAGGATGCCACCTGCCCATCTCACTGCCCAGGCACGGCAGCACAGGGTCTGATGGAGATATATATATATAAGTGTCTGTGCAGTGCAACCCCGCTTCCCCAAAGGTTACATTGGACATCCAGAACCTTGAGATAAACAGGGGAGTTGGCCAGACAGCTTTGGGAAGGACGTGTTCTCACATTCCACATTAGCATCAGTCACTGTAAAGCACTCACTCCCGCGCCAGCCACTTCTGCATTGTTCTTAGGGTGGGGAGAGTGCACAGATCCCTGGCATGGAGCACTGGGTCAGTGGAGCAGGGCTGGGAATCAAACCCACCTCCCCCATAGGACAGAGGAGATCCCTAAGTCTTTGGGCTCAGCCTGGATTCCAAGAGGAGCTGAGCTCAGATCTTCCCCATAGCTTTGTAAAGTATGACATTGCCAGGCCAGGTAACCCTCCCAGTGCTGCGCTTCGGCCTCGCCTTGGGGAAAGTTTCACGGTTTCATCTTTTCTTGTTATTTTTTCCTTTTATCTTAGATCCTTTTTGACCAAGCCCAGAGGTCGGTCCGGCAACAGCTGCACAACTTTGTGAAAGAGTGAGTACTAGTCGATTGGGTCCCGGCTCCCTGATGAACTACGGACCCTCTTGTGTCTGTGGTGAAAACAGGACTGCAGTGCACTGGCTATGTATATATTCAAGGCGCTGATTGGAGTGAAGGACACATCCAAGGGAAGGGAACCATGAATCCAGCAGTGGGATGGGGTGACCCCCGCTACTGTTGTCCTGTCATCTCCACATTCTGTCATGGGGGAGCTCCTAGTTCTGGGTGCAATCCAGGCCCTCCTGATTTAAAATTTAAAGCTGGACATGAAACAAACCCCCAGATCTGAGCATCCCCAAACCGTGTGAAAGTTCAGTTCCATATACACACTTTACAAGCTGACTCCTATCACCACACTGGGGCACACCAACCCCCCCCCAGCTCAAACACCCCCCAAAAACCCAGATCCGTGCAGCACGGGTCTGACACCCCTCTGGTAGGAAGCCCTTTGAGCCAAGCCTGGTTTGATCGCTGCTGCCACCCCGACTGGATGAGGTACAGAATCTGCTTAGTCCGTCATCTAGATTGATATGGCTTTTAAAGCATAGGTCAGTGCCCAGCTGTCTGTCAAAATCCAGGCAGGCACTTCTCCCCCCAAGGGCTTCACTTCAGAATCCTGCAGCCTCATTAAATTCTAAGCTTCTCACCGGGCACCCGTATCCCCCCAAATCAAACCCCACCTCCCAGGACACCTTTGGTGTGTCTGAGGCAGTAAGCGGAGCCTGTAGACGTCTGTTGCACATAAACTTTGCAGGTAGGGGGGAAGGGCTCTTTCTGCCTGCGGAGGAAGCAGGCTTCTCGTGGGAGAGATCACCCAGCCGTGCAATCCTTGCACCAGTATCGTTGGAAATCTCGTGAGGACACTGGCACTGTCGAATCCAAGCCTGACTCCTAGCCCCAACCTGGGTAAGATTTGGAGTCAGCCATCCCCCGGCCCTTATAAAATGGAACGTAAACCCTCCCCTCTCCCCCCCCCCGATGCCACATGGCCACGTGTTCTTATTCGTCAATCTGAGGCCCGGCTGCCTCGTTCCTTTACACCTGTGCAAAGCGGGTGTAAAACACCCCGTGTGGGTGACAGAGGATACGTTGTCGTTCGGCCACACAGCTGATGCGAAGTAGAGGAGAATCAGGGCTGGGAATGATCAGGATGTGGAGAGCCCGCATCTTAGCTCAGGTCTATCTCAACCTGCTCTTTCCCTTGGGTGGGGGAAACAGAATCTCTTCTGCCCGTGTAGGCTGTTTCCCTCCCCCCCGCCCCCCCGAGTGCCCGCGCAGCCCATGAGCAGGTACCAAGTGCAGCATGAGATCCCAAATCAGCTGAATATAGGTCAGCGAGGCAATGGCAGCCTTCAGCTAAGCGGGAGCTGGTTTCCATGGGAACGGGTAATTGAGTGCGAATCCATCAGCAGCTGTGGGTGGTTGGGTGTGGGGGACGACCCACAGTCGCCCCCCCTCCCAAGCACTCCCCCTCCCCCATCTCCGTCTAATCATTTCTCTGATGAGCTCAGATTTAATCTGCTTAAATCCTGGCAGCCGGAAGGGGGAATTTCACCTTCATTTTGGGGCTGTCACCGCATCGGCGTATTTGTGTTTTATTCTCCCTTTGTCGCGCCCATCAGACCCCCCCCTGCCCCACCGTCACAGGCTTCGGTGTTTTGATCTTCAAATTGCTATTGTTTATCTGAAATTGGTTCTGTGGTTGGGATCATTTTAAAGAA